TAAAAAAAAAAAAAAAAAATGCCTTCTGCGATTGAATGGAAGCAAGCCATGTTGTGGACCATGCTGATTTCAGGTGACAGGAAGTTCCACCTGAGCTATGAGCTGCCTATGAAGGACTCTCACCCACTAGAAATCTTGCCTCACAGGTCATTCCTATACTTCACGATCAAAACTCTGCTGTTCGGGTGGCTTTATTCATAACAGACAAAGATTAGAAACAACCCAAAAGCCCATCAGAAGGAGAATGGATAAACAAATCATGCTCTGTGCATAAGATGGAATGTCACTCAGCCAAAAAGAAGAAACAGAGAATGAACTCCTGCTCCAGGCAACAATATAGACTACTCTTATCACTGGAAGAAGTGAAATAAATCAGAAAGAACAAGGGAAAGGCACGTCCTCTTGCCTGAAGCTGAGTTTAAAAGGTTAAGCTTCATGCTTCCTACAATTTTATAGCTTAATGGTTCTATATCCATTCATGGGTCTCACTTGCAGAGAACTCCATCTGTGTCATCACTTGCCAGTGGTAAAGGGAGGCTCTCAGCCAAGAGCCTGGGCTGCACTGGGGTCCCCATTCTTCCCTTTCCCTATGGCCAGGGCACAGCAGTGCGGGAGTGTTAAGAAAAATGCTCTGCGTCCTCCTACACTGTTGGTAGGATTGTAAATTGGTGCAACCACTATGGAGAACAGTAAGGAGATTCTTTTAAAAAACTGAAAATAGTGTTACCATATCATCCAGCAATCCTGGGCATATGTCCAGTAAAAAACAAAAACTCTCATTCAAAAAGATACATTCTCCCCAATGTTCATAGCAGCAGTATTTATAATAGCCAAGGCATGGAAGCATCTGAAATGCCCATCAACAGATGAATGGATAAGGACAATATAGTGTTATGTATGTGTGTGTATAAAAAAAGAATGAACTGTCATTTGCATAGATGAACCTAGAGATTATTATACTAAGTCAAGTCAGAAAGAGAAAGACAAATACCATATGATGTCACTTACATGTGGAATATAAAATATGACACAGATGAACTTATTTTTGAAGTAGAAATAGATTCACAGACATAGAAAACAAATTTATGGCTACCAAAGGGGAAAGGGAGTGGGGAAGGGATAAATGAGGAATTTGGGACTAGCAGATACATACTATATATATAAAATAGATAAACAACAAGGATCTACTGTATAGCACAGGGAACTATATTCAATATTTTATAATAATGTATGATGGAAATGATTCTGAAAAGAATATATATATGCATAAATGAATCACTTTGCTGTAAAGTAGGACATCACCATGGTCTCACCAATCACTGCATTTACTGCTAATGAATACATTCTCTGCAATGAGATGCTCGGAGATAACACTTTAAGCACATTTCCTGCTATTTGTAAGATGACATTCTTAGGAACACTGGTGACTTGATGGGTGACTGAAACACACTCTTTTTCATCAGAGGCAGTTACGGGAGTGGTCACAGACTCTACGGTCACACTGCCTGGAGTAGAATCAAACTCTGGCACTTGCCGGCTGCTTGACCTTGGACAAATCACCTATTTCCTCTGTCTCTATAAAATGGGGATAATAGCAGTGCCTGGGCTTCCCTGGTGGCTGACTGGTAAAGAATCTGCCTGCAATGCAAGTGATGCTGTTTTGATCCCCGCGGGAGGGGAAGATACTCTAGAGAAGGAAATGGCAACCCACTGGAAATGGCACTCCAGTATTCTCGCCTGGAGAATTCCACGGACAGAGGAGCCTGGTGGGCTACAGTCCATGGGATTGCAAGCATCGGACATGACTTAGTGGTTAAGCCACCACCAATGGCAGTGCCTACCTAACAGGGCTGTCATCAAGGTTAAGTGAGTTAATATATGAAAAGCACTTGGAATTGCCTGGCACAGGGAACATATGATGAAATGTTTTGCTCTCACTTCTTTCCCTTTCTCCTCCTCCTCCTCTTTCTCCCCATCCTCTCCCCTCATTCCTCTTCCTTATCCTCCAATTATAATTATCATCATCATTACGATAAGTTATTGCTTTTTCCAGTAAAACGGAGCCCCACAGCCCCACACTGTAGCTCCCTCCCAGGGACGGCCAGGAGGCAGTCACCGTCAGTGACTAAGACTTCTGTGACTCAGCTGTGGTTTGCTGGCTGCATGCGATGGGGGCAGAGCTGAGCCCTGGCAGACTATTCTCAGGTACGAGGTCTGCCCCTCCAGTGCTAAGGCTGACTTTGTAACCAATAAACGGGCAAATGTTCATGAACTTTACCTTCGGAGCTCTGTCTCTGGGGTGGGAGGTGGGGGAAGGGGCATACATACAAATTGACCATGTACCATGGTTCAGATTGTTTTCAGGATTTCTCTGATGCTTCTCCCATCACCATCTCAACCTGAATGAAGGTAATCACCCCCTTAACATTTTGGTGAGAGCTCCTGTTTTTACACATTAAACAGTTACGCTGAGATTTACAGGTGTGTGATCAGACGCTCAGTTTTGTCCCACTCTTTGTGACCCCATGGACTGTAGCCTGCCAGGCTCCTCTGTCCATGGGATTCTTCAGGCGAGAATACTAGAGTGGGTTGCCATTTCCTTCTCCAGGGGATCTTCCCAACCCAGGGATCAAACCTGTGTCTCTTAAAAAAACAAACAAAAAAACCTGTGTCTCTTATGTCTCCTAGGTTCTCTACCAGTAGCGCCGCAGTTATTTGTGTCCAAGCCTGCCTCTCAGCCTGGGTTGCAACCCCCTAAAGGACAGTAGCCTCCTCTCACTCACCCCTGTAGCCTAACCCTTGTACAATGTCAGTGCTTCAGAAATCCTGGCTTCCTTGATGAACTGCATTGAACTTGACTTTGGGAAGTTCCTTCAGCACCCTCAGAGTCCTTTTCTGAATCTCCCTGGTGTGGGCAGCCTGTGTCCTTTAAGGGTAGATATGACTCCAAGAAAACACGGAAAGTGGTCATTCTACCCCAAATTTGGTGAATGAACTGAGCAATGCCAATCTTGTCCTATAAATAAATTTACAAGGCTGGGTTCCTTGGGCAGCTCCTAAGCCAGGTTTAGCTGCCATTCCGCTAGAAGCTTTCCAAAAAGTATCTCGAGCAGAGCCTTTAGAACAGGAGGGTGGAGTCCCAAGACCAAGGCTCCTCTGGACGCAGCAGGCATTCCTGTGTGAAGCTGTAATGCTGAGATTGGCCACTAGAGGGAGGATGCGTTCTAGGCCCCAGGGGAGCCTCGCAATTGCTCCAAGAACTTTATAAAGCCTGGCGGCCAGTGCAGCTGCAGTTCACGGCTCAGTCAGTACCTAGCGGAGCCGCTGGTGCCTCCACAGAACACCTCGCGCGCTGCCCGAGGCTGAACGAGGCCAGACACCAAGGGACTCCCACTTGGGCACGAGGTTGAGTCTTGCCTCCTGATCTGAACCTCCTGGAGAAGTGACCCCCGAGACCCTGGGCACCGCGCAGTCTCTTTCTATGACTCCGTCTGGATTCGGCTGGCAGTGGGGACGAGCTCTGAGGGGCTGCCTGGGTCTCGGGGTGGGGGCAGTGGCCAGCTCTCCAGCCAGCATGGCAAATGCCAGGAACTGAGGGGACAGGTTCTGCAGCTTCACTGGGGGCACTCAGGTGAGTCTGGGCACTGACTGTCCTGGCACCTGGGCATGGCTTCCTAAAGGCAGCCGGGGGACACAGGGCATGGGCTTGGGCATCGCGTGGAGGTGCAGGTCCTGGGAGATCTGCCAGGTTTTCATCCATCTGCCTGGGCTTGTGAGTGTGGGTATTTGGGAGCCAGAGGAAGTGATCGCCTTAGTGGCAACTCTGCCTGGCTTGTGTCAGAGCTCCAGAGCCTCTTCAGGGAGCAGATGGTACAGGTGCCAGTCTCTCCACGTGTGTGGTGAATGTGTGTGCATGCGTCTGCCTGTGGGTGTGCCCAGCGCTGGAACATAGGAAGGCAGAGCTTATTTATAAACCATCTGCACCTCTCTAGTTCTGAGTGATGCTTCAGATGAACTGAGCACAGTTAGAGGAGGAAAGGGCTTAAAACCTCCTTAGCGATTCTCTCTCCAGAGAAGACCTTGTTCACGGTGACCCCTATCTGATTTTGAGGAGTTATGAGCCCTATAGAGTTAAATGCTGGAACCCAGCAAGGCTGGGGCCACCCCTCTGCAGGAAGAATTGATTGAGCCCTGCTGCTGCCTGGAGGGGGGCTTTGAGAATCAAGGTGCGGCTCCCAGGTCTGGTCTGCATTCGTGATTGCTTTTGCAAAGGGGTCCACATGACATTGTTTCTGGGACTAGCTAGGAGGTCGAGGGGACCCAGAGACCCCTGCACCAGGCTGCTTGGCAGGATCAGAAGATGCCGGGGGACTGTGGGTGGTCACCCGGCTCCACCACTGTCTCCCCACCTGCCCCATCCATACAGCCCTCACACATGCCCTGTTCCACAGGAGACTCACAGAGCCCGTGTGGCTGGGAGGTGCATCCTCCCCATTGCAAAGGCTGAGGCTGGATGTGTTAGCTGACGGACCAAGCTCTCCGGGGATAAGATGTGGCACCAGCTTGGGACCCCCTGTCCTCTGAGCCCCCACTCTCCACAGGTCACTTTGGTGTCTACACCCTGCCCAGGTTTCCATGGCACTGGCCCCCTCCCTTCCAGCTCTCTTGGTTCCAGGGCCCCCACCTGGCCCTCTTCCCTGCATCACTTTGGGACCGACAGGCGGCCACCGAAAGGGACCGACACATGCATCCTGGCCGGAGAAGCCTCGTGTGGGGCCAGTGCCCTGGGTGGGGTTAAATGCTGGAACTCGTCCTCTCTGACATTCTTCGGGATGCCACTTGCCCCTTCCCAGTGCCCCTGGGAGGCGGGGAGCTCCTGATGGCGTACGGTCTGTATGGTGTGGGACGCACATACACACATGCTCCAGGGGTGGGGGGTGGAGGCTGGAGGCACTGCTCTATCATCACCACACTTGGCAGTCAGTTGCTCAGACTTGGCCCAAAGGCTCTGCAACCAATGATGGGAAGGTCTAAATTCCTGCCCCCCATTCCTCAAGAAAGAAAAACAGTCCCAAATAAAACCTGGGGCAGACAGAAAGCTCTTAGGTTTCATTCCCCAGTAACAAACATTAGCAGAGTCGGCTGAGCGCTTCCCATCTCAGCGCGCTCACATCTGGCCCCTCTTCTTCTCCCCCACCCCCAGGCTCCAGCTCCACCAGCTGAGGGGTGGGGAGGGGGCCGGGAGGGGCCGCCCCGACAGACACATTCCAGATAAGGAGCCCCGCCTCCCAGCTCTGGTCCAGGAGCTGATGGGCAGAGAGAGAAGGTGGAAAGGCAGATGGGGAAAGTGGAGCAGCCCCAGCTCTGCACCTCCGCCCTGGCACTCCGTGCCCCCACAGGCTCTGGCAGCAGCTGCTGTTGCCTTTGGCAGAGAGAGGGTTCCCCCTCTCAGAGGAGACACTGGCCTCCTGCTTCGCCGCTCCCCAGGACTGAGGCCAGAGGGTGGGGTGCCGCACAGAGCGCTCGTGAAATGAGGGTGTGTCCTCTATAGCTTAGCAGCGGAGCCGCCTGGGGCCCCACCTCCAGGCCCTCCCTGGGTGGAGGACTTGGACAGAGGGCCAGCATCGGAGACTCGAAAACTGGACAGAACTGCAGCCCAGCAGAAGCTGGGTTCAGGGCTCCAGGATCCCCAGGGGGCAGGGAGGAGAGATGCTGGCAGGGCTGTGGGCTCCTCTCCACCCCTTCCTCCCAGAGGCTGGGGGGAAGGCCCACAGGGTCTAGGAACACCCTGAGTGGGCATGTGCATATATGCGTATGTGTGTACATGTGTGCAAGGCCTGTGGCTTCTCATCACTGGAGGTCAAAAGCAGACACTCCATCCGTCCCTCCAGGGCCAGTGGAAAGACAGGTGGATGGCCCCTGTAGGCTCTGGCCTCCTCTAAACCCTGAGGTCATAGGTCCCTGGAAAGAAAGGTCAGGTCATGAAAATAGGGGATTTGTGTTTGCTGTGTCCAGCAGAGGGATCCAGCCAGCCTCTTCCTTCACTGTCCCCACTTACTGGAATGGGGTGTTGCCTCTTCCCTTCAGTCAGCGGCTGGTGTCCCCTTCTGGCCACGTGCCAGGCCCTACTCCCTCTCCTAGCTGGCTCTCTGGTCCTCAGGGTCGAGCTGGCTCCATGCTGGGCCTAGGACCCGCTTATCCTCCCAGGGCATTTATCTTCCAAAGAATCCACTCTTTAAAAGTGGATTTTTTTGGTTCATTATCCATACAGCTATGGGCTTTCCTGGTGGCTCAGTGGTAAAGAATCTACCTGCAATGCAGGAGGCCTGGGTTTGATCCCTGGGTTGGGAAGATCCCCTGGTAGAGGGAATGGCTACCTGCTCCAGTATTCTTGCCTGGAGAATTCCATGGACAGATGAACCTAGTGGGCTACAGGCCATGGGGTTGCAAACAGTTGGACACAACTTAGTGACTAAACAACAACAATCTACATAAAGAGTATCAGAACCAAAAGTCAACATAAACTAATGACTGGAAGTGAGCTAAAAGCCGAGAGTCATTTATGAAACCACTGAGCGTCTATGCGGGAAAAGAATATCCAGTATTTTATGTAAATAAACACTTTGTGATCCAACCCCACAAATGAATTCTTGTGATTATACAAAGAACGCAAACATATCGTAGAAAACCCCCGAAATAGAGAAAACAAAACGAAGCGCAAATCCCCACAAGCCCCACCAGATTCCTGGAACACGTCTCACCCGGAGAAACCCAGAACATCTCCACATATAATCTCCCGTCGTGTACTCTGGAATGTGTAGATATTGCAAAATGGGATCGCGTGGTGCACGCTTGTGTAAACGGGGCTGGGTCATTTCAAATAGCGTGGCACCTCCCCGTGTCGAGGGGGCATTCCTGGAATTCCATGGGGTCCACTCAAAGCCCCAGCCACCCAGGAGACCATCCGGACACCAGGGCCCTCTCCTGGTCTAGGGCTGCCCAGGCCTTAGTGTCTAGGGAACCCCACCAAGGCCTCCTGCTCCCCTGACTCCCATGGGGGTCAGTCCTGGCTGTGGCCCCCTGAACCCAGCTTATCTGACCATGCCAGCCCAGCCAAGTTTGGGAACAGTTCTGGTTTCAGTTCTGGTCTGGTGGTCTCTGTACTGTTTCATAGCCTAGTTTCCCCCATTTCCAACACAGAGCAGAAACCCCAGTCTCCCTGCCGTGCCCAGGACTCTAGAAGCTTGGAGAGTCTTCTGTGTGGCTCAGGAGGTTTGGCCTGTCCCAGCCCCCCCTGGCATGGCCTTCGGTGCCCTTCCCGCCAGCTCAGGGCTCCAGCCCCACCCAGAGCCATGAGAGGGAGAGGACAGAGCCCATGGTCAGAAAGGTGCCCAGGACTGTGACCTCTCCAAGCCAAGGAAGTTGAGGAGGGGATTCGGATCCTGGTGGCTGACGCCTGCTGACGGGGGAGGGTCCCTGTGTTCAGGCTCGGGGTCATCACGAGGTGGTCATGCTCGGGGGCATCCAGGTGACACCTTGCTCTACAGATTCATTTCCATCTCCAACTACAGCTTATTCTCTCTCCCCTGTATCTGCCCTCTTCTCTCCTGCTGCAGGACATGATGGAGAACAAAGCCATGTACCTGCACGCCACCGTGAGCGACCGCGACTCCAGCTCCATCTTTGAGGAGCCCTTTGATGGCAGGAGCCTGTCCAAGCTGAACCTGTGTGAGGATGGTGAGTGCTGTGGGCTGGGTCCTGGCTTCGAGGTCAGCTCTGCCCTCCCCCACCCTGCCACCCCACCCCCCATCGCCGCCTAATACCGCATAGGTTGAACTTCCTGCTCAGAAAGGTCTTTCCTCATTCATGCATCTCAACACACCTATGTGACCCAAAACGAGACCCACTTCACAATGACCTAGCGCACACCACACTGAGAAAAGCGTCAGGCATCACACAGCTCGGGCTTCCCCGGTGGCCCAGTGGTAAAGAAGCCACCTGCCAGTGTAGGAGACCCGAGTTTGATCCCTGGGTCAGGAAGATCCCTGGAGAAGGGACTGGCAACTCACTCCAGTATTCTTGCCTGGAGAGTCCCCATGGCCAGAGGAGCCTGGTGGGCTACAGTCCACAGGGTCACAAAGAGTCTGACGTGACTGAGCAACTAAACAATAACAATTACACAGCCCATCAGTCACAGAGCAGCCCCGGCACTGGCTCTCCTCACTCTGAGCGCAGTCCTTTTGCCTGCCATCCTCTCCTCTTCAGTGAGGCTGGGGTCACGCAAAAGGCAACTGAACCAAGAAGCCCAGACCCCTTCAGGTGACAGATCTTCAATCTGCTTCCCAAAGCTTTTGCAAGGAGGGATGCACCTCTCCAGGGTGCTCATCCTCCCCCGAGACGAAGGCCCCAGGTCATGGAGCAGAAAGGGACCCCTTCTCACTGCACCGCACTGCATCTTTGGGGGATAAAACCCTGGAGCAAATGGATGCAGTTTCCTTCTGAGGAGCTCAGAGCATCTTGCGAACAGCTGGCTCCTATGCATCCAATAGAGCTCCACACTTAGTAGGTGCTTAATAAATGCTTATTGCCTGAATGAACATACTCCTCTTTGCAGTTAGTATAGGAGAGCTTCATCCCCACTTCAAAGATGAACTGAAGGAAACTCACGTGAGAGTTTTGTGAAGATTTGTGACCAGTGAGATGGAGATTGGCTATCTTGTTTCTCCAGGGAAACGGAACCAGTATGATGTCTACGCTTATGAAGAGACTGATTATGAGGAATTGACTCACCTGGCTATGCAGGATGGGAAGTCCCATGATCTTCCCTCTGTAGGCTGGAGACTCAGCAAAGCCAGTGGTGTAGATCAGTCTGAGCCAGAAGGCCTGAGAACCAGAGAAACCAATGGTATTAGTCACAGTCTGAGGGCCAGAGAGGATGAGATGCTATGTCCTAGCTCCAGCGAGCAGACAGGAAGTAAAAAAGCAAATGCTGCCATCTTTTGTTGTATTCAGACCCTCCCACCCACACTGGGGAGAACAGTCTGCTCTGATTCCACCAATTCAAAAGCTAATCTCATCCAGAAACACCCTCAGAGGCACCCAGAATGTTTAATCTGGGTACCCCACGGCCAACCAAGTTGACATACAATCAACCATTCCAGATGCCCTTATTCAAACTTTTTCTCAAGCACTGCGTTTCATTGTGCTCCACTCTGCCAGTTGCCTTTGTCTGGAAATTCCTCAAAATTAGAAATGACTCCTCATTCAGCCCCGTCTTTCCTCCCACCAGGTGCTGAGTGCAGGGAGGGAAGATGGGTGGCTCAGGCAGGGATTGGGGATTGTTTCAGCAGGGACAGGAAAGAGGAGATCTGGGCTTCTTTCCAGGTGGTGCTAGTGGTACAGAATCCATCTGCCAAGATCCCCTAGAGGAGGGCATGGCAACCCACTCCAGTATTCTTGCCTGGAGAATCCCAGGGACAGAGGAGCCTGGCGGGCTACAGTCCATGGGGTCTCAAAGAGTTGGGCACAACTGAAGTGACTTAGCTCGCACACACCTGCCCTAGTAAAAATCCCACCATCAGAACTGTTTCTCTGGATTCCAGTTAACAGACACATTTTGAGGACCCACAATGTGTCGAGCTATGGGTTAGATGCCAGAGATGCTCCAGAGAGAAATTAAACTATTCTTAAACTATCCTTCCAAGGGCTTCTGATCCCAGTGGAAGGGACTGGCATGGAGACAGTTACCCACCAAGTAAAGGAGGTTAAAATATGTGATTATTAAAGTCAAGAAGGATGAACACTTTCTGGTAAAGGCCTTAAAGACCGAATACCATTTTGTAAAAGAGGTAGATGGGAAAATATTAGCAGCTGAGCTGCACTGAGACAGGCCAGTGTTTCTGTCAAGTTAATGACACCCGGGAAGAGATGAAGGACCCCGGGGTGCTGACTCCCTAGTCAGTGCTCAGCTGTTCCCCATCATCACATCCACAAAGGCCAAGATGGCTTTCACATCCTTCAACTACCCTCTCTCCCCACCAGCCCATCAATAAACAGGCCTGGTATGGCAAGAAAGAACTGGGGTACAGCTCAGAGGGGTAATTGTAGGGTCATGAGGGCCAGTATTGGGTACCAGTGGGGAAAGTCATGGCAGGGAGACCCTGGGAAGACGCCTGGGGAGCTGCTGTTGGGTCATCATATCTCCTTCTCTTGACCTCATCATACCCCTCCTTTTCTGCACCTGGGATTTTTAAAAGGCCCTTTGGGGCTTCCCTGATGCCTCAGACGGTAAAGAATCTACCTGCAGGGCGGGAGACCCAGGTTCAATCTTTGGGTTGGGAAGATCCCCTGGAGAAGGAAATGGCAATCTGCTCCAGTTGCCTGGAAAATTCCATGGACAGAGGAGCCCAGTGGGCTACAGTCTATGGGGTTGCAAAGAGTTGGACATGCCTGGGTGACTGAGCACATGGGTGAACAAAGACAGGGATCCCTGAAATCTAAAGGAGGCAGATCAATTCTAAACCTGATTTCCACATTGTCTGGGTCTCCTCCACGCTCATTCCTGGATGCCAGACATGGGGTGGGGGCGTGAGGACGCTGGAAAGACCGGAGTATTGAGATGAAACAGCCACCTAAAAGCTCCTGGGTTTCTTGGATTTCCCCCTTCCTTGTGTTTCTAAGAGGAAAATGGTGAGCTCTGACTTGGGGAAATTCAAGCCAGATTTGGTCTGTTTCCCCAGCACTTGGCTTCTTTGACCCTCATCTCTGGAGAGGGAGGAAGGGGTGGGGCTGGCAGGGGCAGAGAGAGGTGGACTGGAGAGGCGAGGTGGGGACCTGTCCGCCCCCCAGGCTTTGAGTAAATGAAAGCAGAGTTGCTGGGGCTCCAAGTCCCTCCCAGTATTTTCCCCTTGAAGGCAGGGAGGTGGGAAGGGGAGGTGCCTCCCCTTGGCCCCCGGGATCTTAAGATCAGTGGAAGCAAAGCTGAAAAAAGCTGCAGCCTAGATATTGAGGTATGCGTGTGTATTCAGTTGTTTCCAGCTCTTTGCGACCTCATGGACAGCGGAGCCTGGCGGGCTATAGTCCAGGCTCCCCTGTCCATGGGGATGCTCCAGGCAAGAATACTGGAGTGGGTTGTCATGCCCTCCTCCAGGGGATCTTCCCAACCCAGGGACTGAACCCACGTCTTCTGTGTAGGACTCAGGCTGTAAGGCAGGAGGGACTTTAAAGTGTTAGGGTGTACATGCCTAACTTTCATGCACTGGCAACCCCTCCCCCTCTCCTCCTTTCCTTTCCTTTCCATCTGTCTTTTCCTCCTACCCTGCCTCCATCCCTTCCCTTCTGTTCACGGACCAGGGGAGGAGGAAGCTGAGGGGCCATTCAGGCTGCAGCTCCCCATCCCCGCCATGACAGCGCACCCTGCCCCTCTAGCGTGGTGCCTCCCACATCCTTTCAGGCTCTCTCCCTTGAGCCCTCAGCTCCATGGTGACACCTTTGGGACCTCTTCATCCTCTGCACCCCTTGGCCGGGCCCCCTCTTAGCACCCCACCAGCCTCCTCCCTGTGTCTGAGCCCCACTGTGGACAGGACGGCGCCCAGGGCAGGTGCCTCCTCACGTCTGGGTCTCCAGTGGAGAACCCCATGGGTTTCACCTGTGTGGTTGGAATTCATGGGCAGGCTCATGGCAGAACGTGACCTCCAAAGTCTTCGCTCTGTGCCTGCCCCCTCCTCGCTTACCTCCGTGGTCCAGCCTTTCTCCTCCCGCCTGAAAGCTGAAGCCTCTCTTGTCTGGGGCCAGTAGGCGGAGGGCTGGGCGTGGGTGATGTTTGGCAGGACCTGGCTCCTCCACGGCCCTCTCCAAGGGCCAGCGAGAGGTGTTAGTGTCAGAAAAATATTGCAGTCATGCTCACCCCGCGGCCTCGGCCCTCCACCACGCTCCGAGCATCATCCACCCGCTGCAAAAGGGCGGCCCGCGGAGGTAATGAGTTACACATGCGACGCCTGCAGCCAGGCCGCTTGCTGAGTGTAGGGTCCGAACTCCCTGTTCCCGCGTCCCTGCCCCATAAAATTAAATTATTCTCTTCGGGGAATCCCCACGTTTACTTTCTCAGCCATCAAACCTCCTCGGTTCATCCGGCGTAGCTGAGGGCTGGTGGGCAGCCGCCCAAAGGTGGGAGTGGATTTCCAGGGAGGCCCCCAGATATCTTGGTCCCGCCTCCTCCGCAGGTTGGAGAATTAGGCACCCAGGCCGGAGAGCAGAGATGTTAACCCGTGCGGTGCTGCGGGCGCGCGCGCTGACTCCGGCTGTGCTCACTGGGGCTGGTGGGCGGGTGCGATCCTGGGTGTCTCTGGCCCCACTCTTTCCACAAGAGGGAAGGACAGCCAGGGAAGGTGCCAAGAGCCGGGAGAGTGAACTTTGGCCAGCCTAGGATCTGTGCAGAGTGTCTTCCGTTGCCCCTCCACGCCCACCCCCTGCCACTCAGCGATCTGCCTTGTGGAAGACAGCGTGGAAGACCGGAGGTCGGCATGTGTATTTCTCAGATCCTGCCCTATGGGGTCACGTTGGGCTGCTGTGTCCTTCCGCCCGAGGCAACAGCTCCTTGTAACCGCGCTCTGCACGTGGCTTTCTGCTTCCAGGCTCCAGTAAGTGCTGCCCGGGTGGGCTCTGAGAACACCACTCTGGCCCTTGTGGGCGTCTCACACCCTTGGCTGCACCTTTGCACAGATTCCCTTTTTTAAATC